TATTTTTACAGAAATATATAAAAATATAACTTACCTCACATTCTTGTAAATATTTGAGTGAATACTTTGAAAGATTGAGTGAGTAAATCGGTATATTTGGTAGATTCCTGCTTCTTTCTTTGCTCTTTGTGTGTTTATCGCTCGACAGGCTGGCGCATTAGTTATGCCATGAGCCTTTGCGGGCCGTGGCCAACATCCTCTGATTCCGAACGGAATTATCTTCTCAAATTTTTTGGACATAAAAAGGTGAGTTAGGCTATAAGAATTTTTCTTCATTGTGTATAAATAAGTAATTCAAGAACATAAATAGATAGTTCTAAAATTTAAAACCTTCTATGGAACAATCCTATACCAAATTTGTAGCGAGAATATGTACTTTCACTTGCATTTTCAATATCGGGCATGTTTTGCATGCCTAAATAATTAACCACTGTGAAGGTAGCTGCGGATTGGGCCTCAGATTTGGCCTCAGATTGGGCCTCGGATTGGGCCTCACATTCAACTGTATTCAATCATTCAAAACTAGATTATTTGAACCCCTTTTCTTGGCTACTTTTAAGGTATTTTTTACTATAAATTAGCAGTAATATCAGCAATGCAACGTATCTAGGCTTATTTGTGGGAGAAATTGGCCATTTAATACACTGCATTTACTTGTTCGATTTTATATGTCATAGATTAATAAACTTTCGAAGTGACTATATGACCGGCAGCCGGTCACGGTTTAGCCTGCGTGCAGGCACAAGGGAACTGATAGTGGGCCTGCAACCATCACCCCATGTTTTCGATTTTCGCCGGCCGAACCGCCGGCTAAATTCCCATTGGCTAGCTGAGGCGATCGGTAATAATTAACCTAGCCCGCGTGCAGGCCCAAGGGAACAGTGATTCATCACAAAGGCATAGACAAAGGCTCTCGATAAGCTTAAAATTTGAAAATTGATCACTTTTTTCGATTGCAAATGGAGCAAGAACAGACTGTTTATTGTTTACTTGAAGGAAGACATGTTTTTGCCGTTATGCCAATGGGGATTGCTTGTCGTGAGGTGTTGGAATAGCAAATTACGACTGGGGTAAACTATAGTAACCTTTACTTGAGTTTCATTAATTTCAAACAGACTTCAGTTGATACGTTATGTGTTCTCACTTCCTCAAGAAAATTATCTTTTGGTTGATGTTGAGATGCAGTTGCATGTAAGGACTGTAAGCCTATTCGAAACACTTTGCGATTTACAAGGCTTTGCTGAGAGAGCGAAACAGAAGGCGGTATTAAATTGCCGTTTGAAACGAAACGATCTGGACTCGGAACGCTCTCTTCTTTTGTAGAGTTCTTTACCAAATGAAATAAATGAAATAAATTTCGTACTTTCCGCCGCCAACAAGAATTGCACACACGATCCGATAAGTGAGACAATTTATTTATAACAATGCCAATGGCGACAGCGAAGCACACATAATATAAATCCTAATGTGGTCGCACGACTTCCCTCATGATTTGAAGTTTGAGACTGGTTTTCTGTTGAAATTCGTCCTAATTTGCCTGTTCCGATTTTAGTTCAAAATAAACACTTGCAAATTTGTCAATTACTGACTGCGTTGCTTGCTTTTTTGGAGTTAAAACGCAGCCATTTACACATTGTTTATTAGTGTTCTGAATAAGCAGAGAAAACCCCGCAACATTTTAATGCGAGTTTGTTTGTTAATATTTGGGTGCTGTCATTGGTTCTTTATTTACAAAATACCGGGCGATGGTTGCAGGCCCACTATCAGTTCCCTTGGGCCTGCACGCAGGCTAGTCACGGTTTATCAAATACTAAATGGCCGGCAGTCTAGTGACTATTGTTAAAGTTGAATTTTTATAAGATAAACCTATCCCCAACCCCAAACCCTTTTCTAACCCTAACCCCTAACCCCTAACCCTAACCTTTTGAGCGTTAGAAAAGTCGGAAAAAAAAGTTTAAAAAATTTTAAGAAAAAACAATGCTAAGTCAGACAAAACACATCCCGACCCCGTTTAACTTTTCCGCACGCAGCGCCCTTGCCGTATGAGCTAACGGCAAGCTCGGTAAAAGCACGGTTAATAGAAGGAGACTGGTTAGGCCAGCCGGCAAACTTCAAAGGGTCTCTGAAGTTATGTTGGGAACCCCAAAAATAAATGTCACGTGGTGCGATCCCTGCATCAACAAGGAGTGATACTAAGAAAACATTAAGAGATTTAGAGTGTTTTGCAAAATTTAAGCGATTTTTATACCTTTTTTGCAAGTTGAAAGCATATTTTTATGGATACACGGCGTTTATGGACATCCCACAGGAAAAATATCAAATTATAATGACTCAAGAACAAAAAATCGAACGTAAAGCACCGAGGTTGTTTGACACTCGTATTGAGTATGGCACACGGTATGAACAGATCAAGCCAAAGCGAGTCTGAAATTTACCTAGAAGATTCTAAAAATGAAGACTATAATCTTGAAGTTACCGTGGCTGTTACGCAGGCTGAATGAGAGGATATATAGGACGAATTTAATGACGCTTTGAGCGAAATACATGGTGAAAAATCGTTCCCTTGTCCAAAGTGTGACAAATTGTGTACTAAAGTCTATTAATTTAAAGGCGGCTTAACCAGACACACGAATTCGAAGCATTGCGAATTTTCTTCCCAGCAAACATGACCAGAATTGCATATTTTTGCTACGATACTGTTGCGTCGTTTGTGGAATCGATCAAGTCGCAAATTATAAGAGAAAAATTGTATGGGGTTGAAATGAGCAACAGCGCCAAGACTGCATCATGCACTCAAGCTTTGTTTTGATGCTTTATTCAAGCTAAGTTCTGTTGAAACCTGACCAAGCTGAGCGTGAACCTTTGTCGTATGTCGCAGGCTATATAGTATCAAAACTTTTCCAGACAAATAAACGAAAGTGTGGGGTGTAACACAACGACGAACTAAATTGTGCTTGGAACATGTCATCAAATTGTTGAGGAAGGTCACACTTTTATATGCAAGGGTAGTACTATCTGAACAAGGAAGGGCCTGAAAAGATTAGCTATATCAGCAACATAAACTGTTGACAATCATGTAAATTGTGAAAATGATTGGAAACTATACATGTGTTATCATTTATACCACACTCTGACCTCGACTGACATTAGCTCTTGCAGCAACAATATGTAGGCTCCAAAAGTGCGAGGTGTACCAGATTACCAGAGTTACATATATGGTAAATGCTCTCGATTAGGTCTAATATAAACATAGATATGTATATTTTTCATTTGAAACTGCCATTTACAAAAAAAAACTTCAACACCATACTTATGCCAATAATAGGGTGACAGAAGTTGCTGTTGATATTGGTAATTTGGTGGTGTACACTGGTCAGATACATATATGCTCTAACTAGTTTTTCACTTAAGCATTTTGACTATTGTTGGAAACCACTGTTTTGCAAAGGATACACTCTAGCAGTTGATACGAAAGATTTTTTAACTAAAGTAGGCAAAATGCCAAAGTGGAAAAATAAGCCTACCTGTTCATTCACTGTCATATTAAAGCAACATTCTGGCCAGGATAATTATCATTAATCAACTACAAGATTAAATATTCCACAATCATGCATTTCCACTGTATTGCTAGCATGCAGGTTAATCACCTGTGAAAATACATTCGCAGTAATTCTTACAACTGATAGTCTTATTAGATTGTTTTATCAACATGAATATTTTAAATAGTTATATGTTATTAGAACGTTGACGGTTGTAAATACTGTCAGAGTATGCACAAATATGTTCCTCGCCATGTAATAATTTATAGTTTATAACAAATTTTGATTGTGCACAATTAACCCCTGGAAAAACATACTTCAGATAAACAGACACCTTGTGGCTCAGTGCCATGTTCTACAACACATTTCGCAGCATGTTGTCAACCGGTGCTGCACACAGATAAGGATACCATAACAAATTATCAAGAATTGCAAATACTTTGTGTTGCTGATGAGGTATACAACAATGGTACTCTGAATAATGTAAATATTTTTATTACTATACATATTACTACATTCATTCCATACTTTATGTGTGTTGGTGTTATGTACTAAGGTGAATATGATGTTTGTGGTGTTACTCTGAGTGTGCATCCACACCGGGCAAGTTGAAAAGTCTGCTTAACCACAGTGGGATTCGAACCCACAACCTTTGGGATACTAGTCCAATGCTCTGCCAACTGAGCTATGAGGTCATGTCGGTTCAAGTTGGTGATATTTCGGAACTGAGTTTAGTTCCTTCGGCTCGGTTGGCAGAGCATTGGACTAGTATCCCAAAGGTCACAGGTTCGAATCCCACCGTGGTCAGGCAAACTTTTAAGCTTGTCTGTTGGGGATGCACACTCAGAGTATTAATACCACAAACTGACAAACATATTCATTCCAAATGGTCAAAACATAGAGTAATAAAAATGCTTTCATTATTTGGATATGTATGTAAGCTTTGCAAATTTATGATGTCATTTTACAACATGTCTATGAGAAATAGGAATACAAATTCATACTGAATTAGCTCATTGAGTGGCAGCACTCTCCCCTTAATAGGTAAAACTGTCTAGTGTTAGAGTAAAATAATAAAGTAGGGATGGGTGCATCAGGGTGCAATGCCAAGGTTAATGCATAAACAAAAGCCAATATTTATATCAATATATTGCCAACTGTTCTCAATTTCTAATGTCGAATTCTAGGCTGATTAATTAGTATATCTAATAAGATCACAATCAACTCATGTGTTTTATACTTGCAAAGGAGAAATAACTGGGGTTTTAAATGAGGGAGGGGGGGGGGGGGCTTAAAAGAGAATTTTTGACAACTCATAAAATTGCATAACTTCAAATAAATTATGAGAACATGTGTTACTTAAGTGGTACTAGGTCATTTCTTTGGGCTTTTTCTTTTCTTCACAGGTTCATCACTAACTCACATTTTCTCTGATAGCAGGTGCAATGTCTCTTTGTACAGCAATGGTGAGGTCATTGCAGCCAAACTGCTGGGCTGTGGGATTGTCAGTCTGTCAGAGTGTCCACCTTTCGCTTGTTCATGACCAAAATAGTCCCCTAACCCATCTTACATAAACCTTTCGCTGAGAACATGAATCAGGAAACCCAACCAAGTTGTGATCAGATGTTGGGTCGACAATGTACAACTGATTGAGTGTTCACATCTTCTGCCAAGCATACTTGTTAAAATGCATTCGGGCTTGAAATGAAGTTCACAGAGATAAACGTTGCTTGCTTCAATACGTTTCTTAAAGTCTGTAGTCAACACCGTGTCCTCGGGATTAAATTTGTCCATTCCTTTCACGCGTTTTCATTCAATTGTCAGGTTTGCTCGCTGTCGTCGGCACGAACGGACGGCAGTTTAAAGAATGAAAGCCCGTGCTTTCTGCTGCTTGAACAATCATAAAATGCACAGTTTTCGCTAGGCATGACATTTATCTTGCCATCCGACAAAAAATAGAATTGAAATAAAAAAACAACCGCTTTATATTGAAATTTCGAACGCAGGTTTTGTATACATTCTGTATATTCCTAATAAGCGATTGAGATCTGATGCAGGGACCGGACCACGTGACCCTTCAAAACAAGGTTGAATAACATAATTTGTCACGTGGTACAAGTAGCCTAACCAGTCTCCTTCTATTAACCGTGGTAAAAGTTAACGCAAACAAGTGTTTTTATATTCAACTATAGTCACTAGACTGCCGTCCATTTAGTATTTGATAAACCGTGACCGGCTGCCGGTCATATAGTCACTTTGATAAACTTTCGACTTTTGACGAAATTCAGCAAACGTGATAATGTCAAAATTTAAGTATAATGTATAGATATGTTATTCTGCTTCCACGAGTAATAACGATAACATGGCACAAGCACAAAAACCTGCAATTTTTCATCATATGTAACACTTGCGAAAATGCGAATTATGTTCCACTATACTTTATTAAGTAAATATTATCGCAAAATTTATGGCTACGATTCATATAAATTGGATTAACAGAGGAGAGAGTTTATACCCTCTTTCCAATACAGAACAGAATTAATAACATCAGAAAACATTTCATGTCATATGAGAAGTATCACTGTGCGAAACAATCATATATTGTCAGTATAAAAGGTCCATGTTCAGCCACGATTTAACTGGAATCTCCAAACCCATTTGCTTTGAAAGTCAAGTATGTTATATAGTATTTTCCAATCTCTCCATTCATATACACCATGTTGCGGCACAAGTTTTGTGAGACTGATAATTGCGTAGTCTAGGTATTAAATACCGGTCTATAAGATTGCACCACTTAAATAACTATCATCACGAAGCGTTAGTCTTCTTCTGCAAATTCTACACTAGCAATTACATCGAAGGTCACGTATATTGCACATTATTTTACCAATGATCTACACAGCTAACTAAGAAACATAGTCAGATAATAGTAAGGATAGACTGATAGTACAGGATTACAAATGGCAAACAACTTTCTTCACCTTGCGCATTTGCGTGCAATCCACAATCTCATTAGCTCTAAGGGTCAAGTATATAGACATATTTTATAATTGCGAAACCAAACTAAGAAAATTCTATTGTGCAGTATTTCATGCGCTTTCCAACCATGCAGAGTAAATAGTGGCACAAGCTCACAAATGTCGAAATGGCAAGGATTTGTGCTAATTACTTTAATTTGTGTATATATTAAATGCCAGACTACAGGATTACATTGCGCAAAACTTTATATTCAGCAAGCCTTTATGCAAATTGTGTCAACGCAACGGCTCCCAAACTCAAACACGTTGTGCAGTATTTTATGCTCTTTCCAACGATATACAGCAAACTGGGGCACAACCTCACTAACGTCAAAACAGCAAGGATTAATAAGTGCTAATAACTTTTTTTGTATATATTAATGCATCAGTCAATTCTAGCATTGCCCATCCCACCCCGGGCAACCCCCGGGCATTTGCACTTTTTTTTTTCTTTAAGGTGACAATTCCCGGGGGTCGGGCAGGAAAAGCGTGCAATGCCCCGCCCCTGGGCAAAAAAAAAAGATAACAAATGCCCTGCCCCAGAGCACACTGACTCGTTTATAGAATGTATTTTAGACCTCAAAACTTCCTTAACAGAATTAGCTTCCTTGTATAAAAGCTACAGCAGTCATCCCAACTTTTGAACATGAAAAACGACGTGCTCGTCGGTTCAGTGGTTAATATACAATAACGCAGCAAAATAAACAAGGATTGTACTATGAATTCTAGTGTTTTTATGCTAGATAGTTAAACACAACTTTAATTAGTTTCTTATGTGCGATTGGTGTGACGTTTTGTGAATGAAAATATCGACAAAATCCTAGCTCGTTTTTACCCTCGAATTCTTCGACGCCATTTTAATATCATAGCACGTGTTCGTCGCAGAAACGTCCGGTCGAGTCAAATGCCCGGCCGGTAAACAATTCCCCGCCCCCGGGACAACTTTGCAAATACCAATGGCCGGCCTCCTGGCAAAAAAAGTGCTAATGCCCGGGGGGGGATGGGCAATGCTAGAATTGACTGATGCATAAATGCCAGACTATAAATTTACAATGCGCAAATATCAATATTCAGCAAGCGTTTGCGCAAAATCTGTCTTCCCAATTGTGCCCAAACTCGACTATGTTATGCAGTATTTCATGATCTTCCTAATTGCGATGCACAGCAAATTGGGGCACAAGCTCACCAACGTCAAAACGGCAAGGATTAATAAGTTGCTAATTTCTTTGTTTATAGAATTACACTGCGCAAACATCTATATTCAGGAGGCATTTATGCAGAATCTGTTTTCTCAATTGTTCCCAAACTCCACTATATTGTGCAGTATTCCATGCTCTTTCCAACGATATACAGCAAACTGTGGCACAAGCTCACTAACGCCAAAACAGCAAGGATTAATAAGTGCTAATTACTTTTTTGAATATATTAAATGCCAGACTAGAAATTTACAATGCGCAAACATCAATATTCAGCAAGCGTTTGCGCAAATTCTGTCTTCCCAATTGTGCCCAAACTCGGCTATATTATGCAGTATTTCATGATCTTTCCAATGATGTACAGCAAATTGGGGCACAAGCTCACCAACGTCAAAACGGCAAGGATTAATAAGTTGATAATTTCTTTGTTTATAGAATTACACTGCGCAAACATCTATATTCAGCAGGCGTTTATGCAGAATCTGTTATATTGTGCAGTATTTCACGTTTTTTGGTGCGCTGTACAGTAATTTGGGGCACAAGCTCACCATTGTCATTGTCATTGAGGCCTATTTTTTTGGTAGCCATGTGAAAGATTGAAAGTTGTCGACTTTCTGCGCTCGTGTCGCGATGTGCCGTATGTAATTCGAAATAGGGAGACATCATGTACAATATATTTGACTAAATTGACTTTGGAAGCAATTTGGACTGCACAAATACTATAAACACTGAACCAAATGGCGACGCCGGGAATCTGAGGCTAGCTTCACACTTTCTTTAATTAGCGGATCAAATTTCACTAGAATCGACTGACATTGCGTAATAAAAACTTAGTAGAGTTTCATAATCTTTTCTATCTAGAAAAGACGTGCAAAAATCTATAAAGCCATATTCAGGAAAACTTCAGAATTTATTGAAATAAAACTGCCATATATATTTTGAGATTATCTAAAGTGCGAGCTGCGAGTTGCAAGTTGCAAGTTGCGAGTTGCAAGTTGCGAGTTGCAAGTTGCGAGTATATTGTTAAATTCTAATAATTTTAACCCAGGGTTTAATTTTAACCCAGGGTTTACACTAACCTAGCTTTGAAGCACCGAACCAGGTGTTTACACCTATGGTTTGCACTAAAAAATCAAATTGAAAACTGTATGGCATCCTGCATGGGGATGGGATTTTATCTTTGTCTCAATTTGTCGCCGATTTTCAGCTTTTGAAATAAACAATTAAACATTCATTGCATTTATTTTATACTTACAAACTTGTAAATAGCAATTGTTTTGATTTACTGATGGTTTTTTCCCGTGTTTAAATAAAGTTTATGTATGTATATGTATGTATGTATATGTATAAATTGAATTATTTTAACTTCGGTTGTACTTCCGATGAAAAGGACTTGACTTGAGGGTTCTGAGCGTTCAGTATCTATAAACAAACTGAGTCGGTGTCTGGTCATACTTACTAATAAAATTAAATAACCATTTTAAGATTAGAAAGCACAAAATGGTCTGGATAACTATTAGATTTAATTAAACACAGAAACGGCAAATATAAACTTACACTTTTATTTTCAATATAATTATTTTAATTCTTGAACATACGTACCAATCGATCTAACAAAGTAAACGAACAAGTAAAGGCGGGTTTTCATCTCGACCGTATCGTAGCATTTTCTTTTGTGTCGAAGTCACTAGTTCTACTCTAGTGGTCAGGAAACGAAGAAATACGCTACACTTCGCTCGATACGGTTGAAGTGGAAAACCAGCTTAAAGTGCGCGGAAAACGTGTTGAAACGAATTTAGTTACAGGGAACGAAGGTCATTAATATTAATGAAACAAAAAACCCTTCGACTTTACCTTCTATGTCGTCCATATTAATATATTTTCAAAGCCTAATTCAAAGCGAGGCTAGCGACTCGCAACTCGCAGCTCGCAAAATAGCCGACCCCATATATATTGTCGTAATCTTCCTTTCGAAAAGATGCTTACGTGGTAATATACGAACTCTAGTGTCATTCTGTGATCCCAAATTTCCTTCGTTTATTGTTATAAAATGTTTGAAGCTAGCTTCGTATAAACGCGGTCGCAATTTAGCTCAATATGTGATTATTGTAGGGTCCATGTCCTTGCGTTTCTTTTTATAATCATTAGGATTAAGTTACTTTCATGAATCCATGCCATCCCGACGTTTGTGAGCTTGTGCCCCAATTTAGTGTATATCATTGGAAAGAGGATGAAATACTGCACCATTGATATAGTTGAGTTTCGAAACAATTAGGGAGGCGATTTTGTGCAAACGCTTGCTGAATATAGATGTTGGCACAGTGTAATTCTATAGTCTAACATTTATATATAAACAAAAGAATCTAGCACCTTATTATTCCTTGCCTTTTAGGCGTAGCTGAGCTTGTGTCCCAACTTACTGCACATCATTGGAAAAACATGATATACTCTACAATATTAGTAAAAAAAACAAAAAAAACATGAAAAGAAAAACAAAAAAAATATGATATACTAAAAACAAAACATGAACAAAAAAACAAAAAAACAAACATGATAAAACAAAAAACATGATATACCGTAGAACATTAGTTCGAAGTAATTTTGCACAAACGCTTGCAGAATACAGACGTTTGCGCAGTGTGATTTCGTAGTCTGGCATTTAATAATATAAAAAAAGCAATTGGCACCTTATTAATCCTTGCCATGTCGACGTTTGTGAGCTTGTGCCCCAAATTGCCGTATATCATTAGAAAGAGCAAGAAATACTGCACAATATAGTTGAGTTTCAGAAGAATTAGAAAGACAGATTTTGCGCGAACGTATGCGCAATGTAATTCTATAAACAAAAGCGATTACCACCTTATTAATCCTTGCTGTTTTGACATTGGTGAGCTTGTGCCCCAATTTGCTGCACACCGCTGGAAAGAGCATGAAATACCGCTTAATATAGCCGAGTTTGGGCACAGTTGGGGAGAAAGATTTTGCGCAAACGCTTGCTGAATACATTGCAATTCTGTACTGTGGCATTTAATATATGCAAACAAAGTAATTAGCACTTATTAGTCCTTGCTGTTTTGGCGTTAGTGAGCTTGTGGCCCAGTTTTCTGTATATCGTTGGAAAGAGCATGGAATACTGCGCAATATAGTCGAGTTTGGGAACAATTGAGCAAACAGATTCTGCATAAACGCCTGCTGAATATAGATGTTTGCGCAGTGTAATTCTATAAACAAAGAAATTAGCAACTTATTAATCCTTGCCGTTTTGACGTTGGTGAGCTTGTGCCCCAATTTGCTGTACATCATTGGAAATAGCATGAAATACTGCATAATATAGTCGAGTTTGAGAACAATTGGAAAGACAGAATTTAAGCAAACGCTTGCTGAATATTGATGTTTGCGCATTGTAATTCTCTAGTCTGGCATTTAATATATACAAACAAGCAATTAGCACTTATTAATCCTTGCGTTTTTGACGTTTGTGACCTTGTGCCCCAATGTACTGTGTGTGCATCGCTGGAAAGAGTATGAAAAGCTGCACGATATAGTCGAGTTCGGGAATAATTGAGCAAACAGATTCTGCATAAACGCCTGGTGAATATTGATGTTTTCGCAGTGTAATTCTATGAACAAAAGCAATTAGCAATACTAATCCCTGCCGTTTTGACGTTGGTGAGCTTGTGCCCCAAGTTGCTGCATATCATTGGAAAGAGCATGAAATAGTGCATAATAAAGTCGAGTTTGGGATTAACTGGAAAGACAGATTTTTCGTAAACGGCTGGTGAATATCGATGTTTGCGAAATGTAATTCTACGAATAAAAGCAATTAGCACCTTATTAATCCTTGCCCTTTTGATGTTGGCAAGCTTGTGCCCCAATTTACTGTATATCATTGGAAAGAGCATAAAATACTGCACAACGTATTTGAGTTTGAGAGCAGTTGCGTTGACACAATTTGCATAAAGGCTTGCTGAATATAAATGTATGCGCAATGTAATCATGTAGTCTGGCATTTAATACATACACAAAAGTAATTAGCACAAATTCTTACCATTTCGACGTTTGTGAGCTTGTGCCACTATTTACTCTGCATGGTTGGAAAGCGCATGAAATACTGCACAATATAGTTTAGTGTCGGAATTATAAAAGATGTCTATATACTTGACCCTTACAGCTAATGAGATTGTGGGTTGCACGCAAATGCGCAAGGTGAAGAAAGATGTTTTGCCATGTGTAATCCTATACTATCAGTCTACCTTACGATTATCTGACTATGTTTCTTAGCTGTGTAGATCATTGGTAAAATACTGTGCAATATATGTGACCTTCGATGCAGGGCCGGATTAACGTCGCGCGAGGCCCGTGGCAGATTTTCAGCGCGAGGCCCCCAACAAC